GGTTGGAATCCCACCCTGTGCAGTGAGCAGAGACATCTCAAATAATGGAATAATTGGGGTTGGGAGATCTTCACAGCTCTATGTCAGAACTTGATTTTGTGCTGGGAGTGATACCCCACTGAGGATCTGCAAGGAAAGAAATCCCACAGCTGCTCTGGGCAAGCTCTTCCAGCACCTGATCCCCTCTCATTTCTGAGGAGCACTCTGGGATGTGGACACCTGGCTGAGCCAAAGCACACCTGACAGGTCTTTGGGCAGCTTTGAGCACGAGCAGTGGAGCTGCCAGTGCTGAGCCAGGATACTGTACCTCCTGTGAGATGGCCACAGTACAATTCCAGGTCTCTTTGTGTTCAGCAGCTGCACAGCAGGGCCAGGATGAGAGAAGAGGTGACAGAAACAGAACATTGCACTGACCAGAACTGCTGAGGCTGCACGGCCATCCTGGCAACAAAAAGGGGCAGAGAGGAAAAACTGTATCAGAAAAATCCTTTAAATTTCACCTCTCCATTCCTCCTGAAATCACAAAATATGATTTATCCAGAAAGACTAGGGTTCAGACCATGAAATAATGAGGAGTTTTGAGTTCTGTGTCATTTGTTCAACACTCAGGACTTCAGTGAACAATCAAAGCTAAGATAAAATGCAGGGAGCAGCCAAAGCTGAGGGTGGTTTACACTTGTTTGGAAAGCCCACAAGAACATTTTGGCTGCAAATGTTGGTGTTTCGTGGCTGCTCCCCAGCTGTAATTTTATAATTATTTCAAACATAGGCCTGGAAGGGACCACAGGGGTCAGAGTGCACCCATCCTGCAGCTGCAGGCAGTTGTCTAATAGAAATTTATCCTGGAAAAGGATAAACAAAACAAAAAAATCCAGCCCCAGGTTCCCTCACCCAAACACCTCCACAGCTCTGAGCTTGCACATTGCTCCTGATGTTTTTTTTTTTTGAAGGTGCTTATGGGGGAAAGTTTGCTGAGTCACGTTGATAGATCAAAAATATAGGAAGAGTGGGAGAAAATCAATGTATTCCCAGTGCCCTGGGTTCCTGACATGCACCCCCCACTATCCCAAATTGCTCCAAACTCCTTTGAACACTTCCAGGGATGGGGAATCCACAGCTCCTCAAGCTTCACCACCCTTGCTCCTTGCAATTGTTTTTTTCAGGCACCTCTTAGGCATTCCAGACATTTTCTGTAGGATTTTCTGACCCAAGAACCTGCTGACATGAACAGGCTGTTTGCTTTTTAAGTTTAGCCCTTGCCAGTTGTTTCTGACAAGATCTCCCAGGTTCATATAAAATAAGTGGGTTTCTGCAGCCTTGTTAGAAAGTGTTGCAAAGGACTCCCTGTCCTTTATCACATTATCCTGATATCCATTGCTCAAAGGACAGGAAAGAAATTGGATTTTTGAGTTGGATTTTCAGGATTGGAGGCATCAAGTGCATCCTTCTCTCTGTTTGAAGGGAATTTATGTCCTGGAGCCTCTGGCTGTGCTGTGCAAGGCAGAAATGCCAGGCTCACATGGGAGCTCTGTGCAATTTGGGATCAGTCATTTCCTCCATTCTTCCCAGGTTCTGCTGATCAGAACTGACAGCCTCCTGGTTTAATTTAGGCTCCAGGAGCAAAGCAGAGCTCTGCTTTTGGGCACTGCTGTCAACGTGAAAGGTTGGATGGAGTGAATGAGGGGTGATCCAGGATCACACCACGCTCACACAGCCCAGCATTGCTGAATAATCCCTTTGGGATTTCCCAGAGCAGAGGCAGCTGGGCTCCTTCAGCCAGGCCTGACCACTCCTGATGGCAAGACACTTCAACAGTCTCCATTCCACACTTCACAGAATTCCCAGCTCTGTGTTTTCTGCCCAATTTCCAGCCTCTTTCAGTCTAAAGGTGCATTTTCTCCTGTGACTACTTAGATTGAAATGCAAATCACAGAATCACAGAATGGTCTGTGTTGGGAGAAACCTTAAACCCCATCCAGTGCCACCTGGGACCTTCCACTGTCCCAGGCTGCTCCAAGCCCTGTCCAGCCTGGCCTTGGACATTTCCAGGGATCCAGGGGCAGCCACAGCAAATCTGGGCACCCTGTGCAAGTCACAGCAAGCTGACAACTCCTGGGTGAAATTCAAACTTTTCTCCTGGAGAATGATTTTGACCTCTCTTGCTTTGCATTCCTGCTTCTCATTCAATGATTCTCTTGCAGCTGAGCTTTGGGTGATGATGTCTGGGTCAATCCCATTATCCCATCCCATTATCCCATTGTCCCCATCCTCTCATACAGACTCCAGACACTCCCTGAGCAGTGTGAGCTGGCAGTGCCCAGCTCTGGGCAGGTTGCTGTGGGGTGCACTCACCATGCAGTGGATGACACAGACGTTTTTGGGGTTCTGCTGCAGCCAGTTGTGCATGTTCTTGCAGACAGCGTAGAGGTTGTGCAGGCTGGGCGCCTGCCGGACGGGCCAGCTACACTCAGACACCTGCAGGGATGGCAGCAGCCACAAAAACACCTTTGTAGGAGCACTAAACAAGCCCTGATCGACAAATTCTGCCTGCCAAGAAACCTGCTTGTCCTTTACAACCCAGAGTTACGTGCTGGGAACCTCCTCCTCCTCTCCTCGTGTGTAAATCCACGCCGTGCCTCCGATGAGTTATGAGGAGGCAGACAAAAATTCAAACTTTCAATGAAATAACATCAGGCTGATGTGTTGTTCCTGCCTGCACGTTTTTCAAAATTTACATTTCACATCAGATTATCTGGAGGGGCTTTTTTAGAACATTCACATTGATTTCCACAGCCTTTGTACAACGTGTCCCTAAAAACTGCTCTGATTTGCACAGGGCACTGAGCATCTGTTGCTCTGACTCTTTCTGTGACACAGGATTTCCAAGCCCTATATGACAGATATTAAACTGATGAAAGGGAAAGTTCTGTTAACAAAAAAAAAATCCTATTTGAGTAAATATGTTAATGTATGAGCCAGAAAAGTGAATGGCTCCTTAGAGCTGAAACCCCACAAATCCTGAAGGATGTCTGGTTCCCATTCCTCAGTGTGCTGGTTCTGAGTCAGTCCTTGCAGTCCTAAGCAGCACATCAAATAACCCTCAACAGACATCTCCCTTTCATCTGGTTTTAATTGAAATATCTTTTTTTAAAAAGGCATTTCTGGCCAGAAGAAATTTGAAGGAGAAATGTCCCGAGGCTTGTCCTCAGCTGAGGAATTGCTTCTCTCAGCTGACATTTGGCTGCTGCTTAATGGGAAAGGGGAAGGAAGGAGATGATTTGCCCAGATGTTCTTAAACATCCACATGATCCCCAGAACTGTTTCATCTCTCAGAGGAAGGAAATGCTCCAGGTTTTATAAAACTTTGCACTTAAGGTTCTGTCTGACACCTGCACAACATCTTGGAGCAGAAGCAGATTGCAGCCAGAGCCCTGCCAGGCTGTGCCGTGCCCCACAGGGATCCCAAAGGCTCCCATGGGATGCAGGGCCAGGCCAAGATGGCAAATTGGATTTTTGCCTCACAGCAAATTAGATATTTCTCTGATTGCTTTCTAGATCTGTAAAAGTTTTGGTCTCCAGAATATCCTACTGTGAGCAGATGTGGCTTTGTGTTGTAGAAGCCCCTGAAGAAATGAAACAGTGCTCAGATTTGGAGAGCAGGGAGTGACCATTCCCTGTTTTCCCTCTCCACCTTCTCCTGTCTCCAGAGTTTGTTTCATTCCTTCCGTTGAACATCCTCGATTTTCCCTCTTAGAATTCCTGCAGTGACCTTTCCACTGACAATTTTGTGAGCACACCTCCCTGCCAAGCCTCTGGAAAAGCCATTTTCACTTCTCTAGTAAATAATATACATTTCCCACCAGTCCATAATTACATATTTACATTGCCTCTAATTACACATCTGCCTGATGGTTTGCAATTAGGAAATTAAATGTGTGCTTGGTGTTCCTACCAAACAGAACCTCACCAGCACTCAACACAGACAACCTTAGGGAAAAGCAACTGGAATTCTCCAGCTCTGGGAATAAGCACTCAGCACTTGTTTGATTTTAGCAGCAGGGCAGCAGCTGCCAGGAATGTGACCCATGAGGGGCTTTGAAGTTTGGGTTTGTTTAGTGTCAGATTGGGGTTCTGTGTTTTGCTCTCAGGCTGATGGCAGCTCTCCTCTTGGGGACACAGAGGTGACAACAGAGCACAGCCAGGTCTCTGCTCAGAGCCACACACTGGGTGGGCTGGAAGGGACATTAAAAATCATCTTGTTCACACCCTGCCACCTTCCACTAGCCCAGGCTGCTCCCAGCTCTGGCCTTGGACACTTGCACGTTTGGGGCAGCCACAGCTTCTCTGCAAAACCTTTCCCAGGGCCTCAGCACCCTCCCAGTCCCCTCTCCTCCTGCACTGGGGCCTTGGTGACCCCTGAGCCACACCTGAAAATGGCCCAGCAGGACATGAATTCACCTCCCTGCTGTGCCACCACGCAGCACAGTCACCTGCTTTGGTCTTAGGAGCAGAAAGTTTTAAAGAAAGCAGGAATTCAAAAGCTGTTCCTGTCAAAGAACCAGTGTGTATCAGTGCAGCTCAGCTGACATCTCCTCATCCCAGCAGAAAACTCACTGGGATTTCACCTCCTCGAGAGCCCTTCAGTATTTTTTGCAAGATATATAAAGCTCAGCCTGGTAATTCTGTCATGTATTGTGTTGTTCACATTTCTTTCTCATGAAAAATACTTGGAATCAGGAGTTCCCAGCCCATAAACTGAAAACACAATATTTTATTTAAAGAAAATGTTATTTTCTTCCTGTGTGAGTCAAGGCAATGGTTCCAAAGCACTGAGATGTCCTTTGAGAGTGATGTTAAAAGTCACTTGTTGAGGTGTTGGGTAGGGTGGGAGATAATTCCAGGGGTTCAGGAATTATGGCCAGCTCACACAGCAATAGATCTTTAATGCTGGGCTTTCAGAAGTAGATAAATTTTTCTCCACCCACAAACAGCATCAGTGATGCACCAAAATCAATCAAGACTGAAGATTCAGAGCTCTTAATATCTCTTAATTAGTCTTCCCTGTTCATTTACTCCTATTTGAAGTCTGGTTACTGATGGCCACAGAGAAATTTGCTTCGAGTATCAATGAGTGGTTTCTGGTGATCAGAATTACTGAAGATAAATTCAGCTACACCTCAAATTAAAACTAAATTAGGCTTAGATTAAATTCATTTACCCTGACTGAGGCTTAAGCCTGGCAATTGCTGCTGCCTTTTGGGTTGAAGGCACCAAAAAGTTGGAAATTAAAATAAAAAAACCACAACACCACTTGTGGGAGAGGGAAAGATTAAATCTAATCTTGCATTTCAGCAGCAACATTTCATAGAGATTTCCTCTAAAAGCCATTAATGAAGCAGAGCCTTGCAGTGCTCCCTGATGCTGCTCTGGTTTTAGAGAGGGAAACTGGGCCAGGCAGTGCAGGTGGCTTTTTAAAGCCACAAGAGCCAAAATGCCCCTCACATCCCATTTCCACCCCTTGATTAAAGCCCAACTGCAAGAAAATCATCTCCCTTCTCCTATTGGTAATTTCTTCCAAAGGCTTTTCATTTTATTCTTTCCCTATAGGAGCAGCTGTAAAACTCTGGTTTATTCTTTATTTCTCTCCACTTTGTGCAATGCCTTTCACTCTGCCAGGCTCCTCACATGAACATTATCCCTGAATTTCCAGCTTTCATCCCTGTGCTCCCAGCTAAAAATCCCAAACCCACCCCAGCAGCTTTAAAAAAAAAACCTCCTAAATCACCTTAAATTTGGATCTGCTGCCCCTTTCCCTGAGGAATGTCCCCCCCATGGAAGGCACTCACCCTGTTGTGGAACTTGGCACTGCGATAATATTTGGGTGACAAGTTGAACACGGTGTAGTGGTCGGGGTGTCTGGAATCCAGGAATGTCCTGACATCCTCGATGTGATTCCTGAATCCCAACTCCACTCCCTCAGCAGGAAAAGACATCACTGGCAAAGCAAGGAGAGGCCAGGCTGAGTGGGAAGGGATGGGATTTGGGGTTTGGGATGTCCAGGTTGGGTTTTTGCCAGGAGCAGGGCTTACCTATGATCCTTGAGGTAATGTAGGAAATGTCCAGCTCTCCCTTGGTGTAACTGAGGGACAAAGCAAAAGACAGAATTTAGCAGCGAATCAGGGGTGGTTTTTACACAGAAAAAAAAATCTATTTAGCACTCAAGGAAAAAATCATCTTAAAACAAATTCTGAAGGTGCAGACAGTGACCCAGCCCTCCTCTCTCCACATGCAATTAACTGGATGCAAAACCTGCAGGAAAAGTCCCTTTTCCCTTTTGTCATTAATTTTTAGTGCCAGTTTCCAGGAGAAATCTCCAGAAGTTTGCACTTTGCAGATCCCTCAGGCCCTCTGGGGTCTTGCATTAAATTTCTTTAATTTCTTGTAGCCCCCTTGTCCCCTTGAGGGCAGAGTCCCCAAAGCAAAGTCACCTCAGCCTTTTTCCCATTCCCAGGTGGATTTGGGGATGGGAGCAGCAAGGACAGCAAGGAGAGGCATCAATATAAATATAAATATAAATATAAATATAAATATAAATATAAATATAAATATAAATATAAATATAAATATGAATATGAATATAAATAGAAACATAAATATAAATATAAAAATATATTAAAATATATTTATATATTATTTATATAATTATATATTAATTAATTATATTAATTATATATTAACTAATTATATATATATAACTAATTATATATTAATTATATTAATTATTTATATAATTTATATATATTAAAATATATTATATATATTTAATTTATATATATATTTATATTACAATATAAAGCTCTATTTCTATAAAAATAAACATAAATATGAACATATCTTCTATTAAATAAATATGTAAATTGAATATAAATAAAATAAAGAAAGTGGTGGTTCACTAGAAGGATCCCACAGGGAATCCTCCAGGAATTGGAACCAGGTTCTCCACTCTCACGGGCATTTTGCACATTTCAGGATTCTGGTGCTCACTGTGAAGCTTACATTGTTTTACTTTGATTTTCCATTTGCAAATGGAAACCATTTCCTTTGGTTTTCCCTCCTTCCTTGAGGCCAAATCCCAAAGATGAGACAGAACCAAAGAAATTATTGGGGATTTTCTGCTCCTTCCTCAAGGAGGAATTATTATTCCACCTTATTTCATAACTTACTTCATTAAAAAAGAAGTAAATAAAAAAATAAATACAATACAACGTTAAAATATAAAAATCCCCCATCTTTGCAAGACCCAAAAAATATACAAATAAAATATACAAAATATACAATCCTACAAAATATAAACAATCCACAAAATACAAACAAAAAATCAATCCCACTTCCTTCTAAAACAAAAACTATCCCAAAGAAATTCTTCAGAAAACATTCTTGCAAATTAAAATGAAATTTTAAAAAGCATTAAAAATTTTCAACACAGCATCAACACAACTAATAACCGTGCCAATCTATTGTGAAAAAAAAATGCAAATCTCAAATAACACACAATATAATTAAAAAATGAAAACAAGCAATGAAAAAAAGTTGTTTAAACTCTCCATACTTCAAGCAACTATTAAAAGCCACTTCCAATAATTACAATTTATTCCTTTTAACTGCAAATATATTCCATAGCAATCTTAACAAATACACAATTCGTGCTGTAAAAAATCAAATTAAAAAAAAAATAAAAATATCTCACCAAATTAATAAAGTAATTAATAAACTAAAAGTCCACATAAAAATCTCACATTAAATCAATTAGCAAAAAAAATGAATCCCTGGGAGCTGTGTTCATTCAGTGGGAGCTTTGGAGCTGTTGGAAAAGATCAGGATTTGACAGGAATATTTTACAGATATGTGTGTAGAGTAGAAAGATTTTTGAATGTAGAATTTGAAGAAGGAATAGAAATGATAGCAAGTTTTGATATATAGAAGAAAAGAATCGTTGAGCCAGTTTTATTGGATAACTAAAAAAGCCAAAGATATGTTAATATGTGACTTGGAAGGGGCTTTTATGACTTTGAGCAAAGGATAAATTTACCTTAAACAAAAAAATGGTTTTACTAAGGAAAAAGATTTTCACAGGCAAACAAGAAAGCCAATGTTGCAAGGAGAGAAAAGATTTCAGAATTTTTTACTGCAAAAAAAACCTAAAAAAACAACTTTTAGTTTAAATTGTAACATACTAACTTTTTGTGATTTTCAAATAATAACATGAATATGGCAATGTCAGTAGTTATGATGGGCTATGGGTAAAAGCATTGATTGGTTGTTAGGTTTTAAGATGCTCTGCAATAAAAATATTTAATGTATTGTAAGCAGAACTAGAGATGGTTTCAGACAAACCCACGGCTGAGGTGACAGGGCTGGGCTCTGCCACCCATGACCCGTGAATTGCTGCATCATTTGGACACAATAAACAGCATTTTAAAGAATAAATCAATTACTGCATCGTTTAAATACAATAAACAGCATTTTAAAGAATAAATCAATTACTGCATCGTTTAAATACAATAAACAGCATTTTAAAGAATAAATCAATTGCTGTATCATTTAGATACAATAAACAGCATTTAAAGGGCCAGTCTGGAATTCAGCATCTCTCGTTTTGGCTCCTACATGCAGCTCCTGGTTTTTTCCTGCTTCAGGTGCACTGTACCTGGCGACAGACTGCATGACCTTGGAGGAGGTGTCCTTCAGGGTGTCCTTCAGGTTGTCCTTGAGGTTGCTGAAGAGCCTCCCTGCTCCTCCCTTGACCATGTCCAGGAGGCCTCCCCCATAGCTGGACTCCATGTCTGGAGAAGAGGCACCTTGAGCACAACACAACCAAATTCAGCATCACTGCTTCGGGACAAACCCCCAGCAATCCTGTCCGAGCACATCCCTGGGAGTGTGGCAGCCATGAGGAAATGTGGTTTTTCCTCCTCAAAACTGGGATTTTTTCCAGGGAATGAGGGGTGAGCTCAGAGCTCTCAGCATTCTGTGGAGGTTCAATGTTCAGTCTCAGCACAGTGAGGACAGCACAGGGAAAAAGCTAAACTGGGGTTTGGAACTGATCTGAAATCAGCCAGGTGTGCCCAGGTGGCACAGAGGACAAAGTCACCTGGGATGTGGCAGGAGTTGTGTGGCAGCAGGAGCAGGGAAGGGATTCTGCCCCTGTGCTGGGCTCTGGTGAGGCCACACCTCGAGGGCTCTGTCCAGGTCAAGGACAAGAAGGACATGGAGGGGCTGGAGCAGGGGAAGGGAAAAGGGCTGGGAGAGGGTCTGGAGAACCAGGAGAGGCTGAGGGAAATGGGAAGGGAATGGAGAATCCCTGAGGGAAATTGGAAGGGGCTGGAGAATCCCTGAGGGAAATGGGAAGGGGCTGGAGAATCCCTGAGGGAGCTGGGGGGGCTCAGCCTGGAGAAAAGGAGGCTCAGGGGGAATTTCTGGCTCTGCACAACTCCCTGACAGGAGGGGACAGCCGGGGGGATTTGGGATCTGGGAACAGGGACAGGGACAGGAGGAGGGGGAACAGCCCCAGGCTGGCCCAGGGGAGGCTCAGGGTGGACAGCAGCAGGAATTTCGCCATGGAAAGGGGGGGTCAGGCACTGGAACTGCCCAGGGAGGGGTGGAGTCCCCATCCCTGGAGGTGTCCAGCCCTTCCTGAGTGACAAGGTGGGGATTGGGCACAGTTTGGACTCAATGGCCTGGAAGGGCTTTTCCAACCTAATTAATTCTGGGATTCTGTGATCTTTAAGGTCCCTTCCAACCAAAGCTATTCCATGGTTCTAAGCTCCTTCACCTCCAACTCTGGCTGATTTTCTTCTCACAACCAACAGCCACCTCCTCAGGAGTGAGAAAAGGACTCTCCTACCCCCTGGGACATCCCTCACAGGGGCCCCTTCAGGGCAGCCCTCCCAGCTGACTGTCCAACCCAAACTGTTCCATAATTCTGTGACAAAATAATAATTTAACTCCAAATGAATCCCCATCTCCTCTCTGAGGCAGCCTCACCCACGGTGAGCTATCCATAAATCTTGAAACTGGAGATTCTGTTGGGAAGGTGATGCTACTCTGATCCACTCTGATCCAGGTCCTAGACTGCTAAAATTAGAGGCCACCTCTTCTCTACACTGTTCAGACAGAAGATGCCTCCTCGAGGCACAGGAATATTTCTTTTGCCAAACTTCCTGTGAGTATGATATTAAAAAAACAAAAAACAAAACAGAGAAAGGAAAAAAAATCAAAGAAACTTGTTGGTTTCCAACCATGGAATCAGTGTTTGATCTCCCCTCAAAAAGTTTGTTTTTATGTTATTCTGTGCTGGAAGAGCCAGGGGTGGAAGGAGGAGATGTTCAAAAGGGACTTTTAGTTCTGCAGGTCAGCTTTTAAAGGAAAGGAAGGCAGACAAGTAGTAGCTTGGAAAAGGGGACAAAGGAGCAGAGGTTCAACAGCACTGGGCAAATTCTTACAGCTGGAAATGCTGTAGGAGAGCAACAGAAGGGCTCTGAGAGTATGGAAAACTAAAATCTTTAGAAATCATTCTGAAGAGAAGAGGAGAAACAGAAGAGTTTCACTGTGTTTCTAAGAGAAGCAGCAGGAATCAATTCCAAGTTTCCTGTGTCCCCTAAAGCAGAGATCAGAAAGGATGGCTGAGGAAGAAACGGTTTCCACTGCCAGAGGGCAGGGATAGGTGGGATTTGGGGAAGGAATTGTTCCCCGGGAGGGTGGGGAGGCCTGGAATAGAATTCCCAGAGAAGCTGTGGCTGCCCCTGGATCCCTGGAAGTGTCCAAGGCCAGGTTGGACCATTCTGTGTTCAGAATAAACCTCCAGCAATCATTAATCACAGGATCCCAGAATCCCAGGATCACAGGATCCCAGAATCACAGAATCACAGGATCCCAGAATCACAGAATCACAGGATCACAAAATCACAGGATCCCAGGATCCCAGAATCACAGGATCACAGGATCACAGAATCACAGGATCCCAGGATCCCAGAGTCACAGAATCCCAGGATCAATCACAGGATCAATCACAGGATCCCAGAACCACCAGGTTAGGAGAGACCTCCAAGATCATGGAGTCCAACCCAGGCCAACCCCTCAACTAACCCATGGCACTGAGTGCCACATCCAATCCTTTTCTAAACACATCCAGGGGTGGTGACTCCACCCCCTCCCTGGGCAGACAATTCCAGTAGTTGATCACTCATTCAATAAAAAACTTTTTCCTGATATCCAACTTCTATTTCCCTTGGTGCAGCTCAAGGCTGTGTCCTCTGGTTCTGTCAGTTGTTACCTGGGAGAAGAGACCAACCCCACCTGAGCAAAACCACCTTTCAGGGAGCTGTAGAGAGTGATAAGGAAATTCCAAATACAGCCACAACCTGCTGCACCTCCTTCCAAAACTGCAATAGGCCAGGCAGGAGCATTCCTGCCATGGGTCACCCTCAGCACTGAGATTTCAGCTGGAGGAGCCCCTGCTGACAGCACCAGCCTGGTGTTGAACAGGATGGAAGCTGGAAATCTTAATTATCAGGAGAAGGATGTGCAGGAGAACTTTTCCTTCCAAGGCAGAGAAGCTTTGGAAGGGAACAGTGATCCAGGACAGCACAGAGGGATGTGCTCAGTACAGGAGGGTGGCAAAATCATCAATGTCTGGATTAGCCAGGCCAGGAAACTCTTTCCTACACAGGGAAAGGGAAAGAAGCCACAAATCCTGAAGGGAAATACCCCCTCCTGCAGTGCCACCAGCAGTGTTTGTGCTTCTTCTCAAAACCAGACATTTAAACCAACCCTGCTTTAACCGTGGGGGTTTGGAGGCAGAAATGGGTGAATGGAGCAGGTGTGACCTCGAGTGATGGGGACATTTCTGCACCAGGGGTCTCCCAGAGTGACCAGCAGCAGAGCGTCACACCTGCCACCAGCTGAGGGAGGTGCTCTCAAGGAGGAATTCCAGATTTGGAAGCTTTCCCTGCAAAATCTGCACTGTTGGAAGCCTGGGGAGGTCCCTGAGCAGCCCCCCCCAGACAAACCACAAACCCTCCCAACCACAGGACCTGAATTCCAGCCCTCCACAGAGCCCAGGGGGAGAGCAGCCGACATTTAAAAGGCATTTAAGACTCTGTCAGTCTGGATTTTTATGCTGATGAAGCAACTCTGAGCCTGAGAGAGGGGAGGTGAAAGGAAGACGCCTGAAAATTGAGGCTCAGCAGAGAAGTGCTGCCTTTGCCAGGCTGCTTAGCAGGAGTGAACAGACCCTTTTTGCCTGGAAAGGGCAGACAAAAAGCAGACATGAAACCATAGGAAAGGAAGCAGGTTTCCCTCAGTCTGCCCAGATTTTGTGCAACAGCATCTTCAATGTCAAATGAAGTTTTTATGTGCTCAGGGGAGCTGCTGCCTGTGCTTTTGTTAGGGGTGGAGTGAGGAAGGATCTAAATATTCCCTGTTCCTCATCGTGGAATCACAGAATCGTTTGGGATCTGAAAGATAATCCCGTTCCAGCTCCCCATTTCATGTAGAAAAGCATTAAAACTTCATCTCCCACCTTCCCAAAAACAGAGGTTTGGGAGTATTGAATCCCCTCTGAATTCTCTTCCAATGCTACCACAAGAGCCTGGCACTACAATTCTTTGTTCCTGTGTTTGTGTCCCAAATTCCCCATTTCTAGATGGTTTTATTTGCTTGTTGCTGCCTTTCCCTCCCCACAAAGTATTTTTTGGGGGAAAAGTAGGGATTTTTGCTTGTTTTACCCCCTGAGATAAAGGTGGAGGCTGCCTGGGCAGAAATGGCCCTTTTAAATTTCCCTGCACTGAAAGGAGTCGAGCCGCTGTTGTTGTGGCTTCACCGACAAAGCCTGGATTGTTTTTAAAGAACACTCAGCAAAAAAAAAAAAAAAAAAAAAAAAAAAAAAAAAAAAAGAAAAGCTGTTTTTTTGTGCCTCTCCCCCCCTCCCCAGCAGCTCAGCTCACGTTCCTCCCACAGCCAGCTCTCCCAGCAGAGCCTGCCTCATGTGGGACGTGCTCTCCCACCAGCCTGCAGCCAGCAAAGCCACAATGCCCCAACTCCAGGATCCCACTGATGGCATGGAGGTGTCTGGAGAGGAAGAGGGGCAGCCCTGGAGCAGAAATTCCTTCAACAACAGCGTTGGAGCATCCTTGAAAGGGTTGATGATGGATGGAGAGGTGTTGGGTGCACACCTACCCAGGCAGAGCAGAGGATTCACAGCCCTGGGTACCCCCAGCTCCCCACATTCCACCTTTCAGGGAGTTGCAAAGGGGGATTTAACCTTCCCTGTTCAAGGCAGGGGTGGCAGGAGCTCCTAAAAGCAAATCTCTGCCCCCAGTGCTCATCAATAGTGGAGAGATCTGAGAGATTTGCCAGCTGGGCTTGGAGCAGCCTGGGATGGTGAAGTGGGCTTTCAAATCCCTCCCAACACAAATCCTCTCATTCTCTGCTTCTAATTATGTTTTAAGGGCACAAAAATCACATCCTGAAACCTAAACCTTCCTTCCAGCACATATTTTTCATCTGGACAGCTGAGCTTTACCACATTTAAGCCAAGACTAAAGCATTGATGCTGCTTTAGGCACTGGCATCCTGTCTTGGATGAGACATAGCTCAAGTGTCAGAATTACATCAATGAAGGTTTTAATGAAGGTTTGGGAGAGGAATCACCCCCAGCAGAGACAACTAAAACAGTGATAAAGGGGCATTCACAGGGAAAATCTGCAGAAATTACTGGGAAAGTTCCTCAGACTCACACAAACCCTAAACACTGATTATTTTTTAGCTAATTTTTTGCTACCAGTCCCATCTGTGCCCT